TAGCGCATGAACCAGGGCGTCTGTATCTGCAGCTGCATTTTGACGTCTTTGCAATAGAGTCTGATGAAGTACATGACAGTTGCATGTATGAACTTCACGAATAACCCCATCCTAGTCTGATATCAACGTAATGATAGAGCCATGGCAGACGGAACTCTTGCCAGGGATTAGTAGAACAGTTGTGGGTGCGACCGCGTTTTTGCGACATCCATGTGGACGGCCAGGAGTTCCAAAGACTACACAGCGCAGCTTCCTTGTAAAGGTCCATGTAAATGAGCTCTCGTTCCATTGTCCAGTTGGTCGTTGCCGGTCAAGAGTATCGATGCAAGTGTCCGGTACTGGAGGGGATCTGCAGAACATCTAGAGATCCATAGGATATATTTTCTGAGGTCCCGTAACCGAAACTCTTTAGAAGCGAAACCTGATGCTATCGTGAACCGTAGCGTGGGAGCAAAATGGCCGTTGAGATGCCCATCAAAGATCGGCAAAGTTTGCCGAACTATCTGTAGCTTGTACTGAGGCACTTGGAAAGCTGTTGGACTTCAGGCTCCCTCATCGCACAGCCTACCGAAAATTTACAAAATGTGAACAAACCGCTGTACCTCGATACCACGTCGAAACGAGCATGGATGGCACAAAGACAACCAGGCCAGGAAAGACGCGGATGTTCGATAACTCTGATGTATATCGCGAAGTGCGAACAAGAATGAGGAACGTTTCTGTTATCTCGAAAGAGTATCGAGGTTCGAGGCTAGAAGTGTGCAATGCTGGTACCGACGATGGCGTCATAGCGTTGTGCAAGCTGACCGCGATAGATAAAGTACAAAGGTTGGTGTCTCGGCCACATGGCGTCTCGATTTGAGGTTCAAATTATAGCAGTCACGCAGTAGTGACGTGATGCACGAACTTGACGTTTCTTGTGAAGAGAGGTACTCTTGGATGCGTCTGCAGGCTGCTGATTGACACTGTATGATAAGATCTTGATACGACCACCGTATACGTTCCCTGCTAAGCTTAGGCCATCCAGAGACGTTGGTAAAGCTACTGTTTTAGTCCGCCTGTGGAGCAAATTGGCTATTTGTCTGCAGATCTCCCGCATTCTTAACCACCCTCGCTCTTGGTTTCTTCCTACGTAGAAGGAATGGAAAGCCTGAGAGAATCGCATGATCTTTTACGATCCGACTTAGAGGTGCCAGCCCTGCCGAATATTGACTCGAATTTGCGAGCCATCATGTTCTAACGGGTCATCATACTGCGAGACCCGAGACCCATGAGTAAGTCCGACGCAAAGCCCCACGGGGGTGAGCCAAAGTGGCCGAACTCGCAACTAGACGTTACAAGGATTCCAGGATTAGATGTATGGTTCCTATTGACCTCATGATAAGAGACATCAAGGAGGGGACGGGGATAAAGCCAAGCACCCAGTGTCAGTAGGCTCCACATCGGATCTGGATTTGGTTGATCTTGGAGCCCTTCAGTATTTCCTTGTGGACAGTACGTGACACCAAAACGTACCATAATAGTATGCACTGTTTCTGGTTTGTTGGCTCATCTAGGTAGAATACTGTAGGGGCTCTCAGAGTACCTAGAGTGTTGGCGTTGATATAATAAGTCGGAAACATCGAGTTCCACTACAGTTGTGAACATTAGCTTTGACAAATTAAGGCAAATAGTACTTTTAAGTTTGTGCTCGGAGCAGCGACGCTCGCGCAGATTGCCAACAGGATCGCCAGCGTCGCGCCCAGGCGCTCGAAAGTTTCACGACACTGTGGACTGGACTATCCCCAAACATTCCTCATATTGTTGTTCGTTTGACGTATGGCAATCATACAGGTATGCAGAGTTCTCTGATCTGTACTGATGAATGGAGGGAGGAGGAGAGATGGTCATTGAGGTTGGTGAACGCTGTGCAAGTGCCTATTGCGATAGGCAGTCGCGCACCGTCCTGCAACCTCACCAATCGGAGTCGCATCGGCCCGCAGCGCGAGTCCCATTCTCAGTCGTACGCTCGCCCCTCGCTCACCCCAGCTACTTGCCCGCCCACCCTCAAGATACGCCATTCTCCCTGACTTCTGTCCGCGAAAGCTTTAATCCTGTCGTCCTTATCTGACAACGGCTTATGTTGCTTATAGTCACCTGTGCGCTTATGCTTGGCATCCCAAGCTTCCTTCGTGATCCTTCGAATTTCCCCGGATTTGATTCGAAACATCCAGAGCCAACTCCACCAATGACACAATGCGCATACTGCTTTTGAACGTGCTAAATTCGGAGAAATACTGCAACAGTCTGGCAAATATATACCCATGCTCGGCTCTCGCACAATAAGATCCATGCACTACTCCGCAAGGCGTAGGTGCTCTGTTCTGATCGCGGAGCCCGCTCGAAATGGTTAACTGAAGCATCTGTTACAATATTACCACCGGGAAAGTTGATATTGAAATGGTGTGCAGGCATCTGCACCTCCGAAAGTATTACTTTAAAGTCGGCGTGCGCAATGCAGAGCACCATCTGCGCGCAGCCATTCATTCAAAATGCGTTTTTTACCGACTATCACTGCTCTTTTTCTTGCGCCGACTGCTGTCTTCGCAGCGTGGGGCTACACCGACGACGGCAAGAACTATGTGATCGACACGAATGCAAATCTCGTAGTCAAGGTCAGCAAGACGAACGGGGACATGACATCGATCAAGTACCGCGGCATCGAATACAATGGTCAGAATGGTAAAAACTCGCATGTGGAATCTGGTCTCGCACCTGGAACTGTCACCATCAAGCAATACACCACTCCAGCCAACATCATCAAGGTGACGATGAAAGTTGGCACTCTCATCCATACTTTGGTCTTTCGCTATGGCAATCCCAACGTATACATATTTATGAACAAGAAAGACACCAGCATCACTGTGTCAAGATACATTCTTCGCATTCCTCCGAACATATTCACCAACAATGTTAACGAGGACACTGACTGGATTCCAGATGGCGCTCCGGCCATCGAATCTGGTGATATCAATGGTCTAAATGGCCAGACGTGGTCCAAACATTACTCTGGCAAGAAATACGGTCGCACAATGGACTATGACTGGGTCGGATATACGAACAGCAATGTTGGCATGTATATGATTCGTTCGAATCATGAGAAGGCGTCAGGAGGCCCATTCTTCCGAAGCTTAGTACGCCGCGGGGGTAGTGGTGGGCCGGATCTATATGATATCTATCACTACAACATGGGTACGTCGGCGCTTCTCTCTGCTTTCAGTTAGAAAAATTACTGATATGTTACAGGTCATACCGATGTGATGCGCTTCGGCCTCCAAGGTCCATCCGTCCTTCACTTCACTGATGGTGGTGCTGCACCAAACACTGCTCTATTCGCGCGCAATGCCAACTGGGATTGGTTTGATGCCCTCGAGATTGATGGCTGGACCCCGGCTAGCAAGCGCGGCGCTGTCTCTGGTGTTGGTCTGGCGAATGTGAAGAGCGGGTACCAGTATGTTGTAGGCCTGAAGAGTGCCCAGGCTCAGTACTGGGCTACTGCAGGAACCGGCACCTGGAAGATCAGCAAGGTCTTGCCAGGCTCATACACTTTGAATGTATACAAGGGTGTAAGGATAGCCGCACCTTTTCTCAAGGAGATTGTACTAATGCGGCATTCCAGGAGCTCGAAGTTCATACCAGCACTGTCACCATTACTGCTGGAGGAACCGTGGCGCTGAACACAATCACCTGCAGTGACCCTTCAGATACATCCGCCATATGGCGGATTGGTGAATGGGATGGCACACCCAAAGGATTTCTCAATTTCGGTGACAGCCCCATGAAGCCGACATACATGCATCCGTCTGATTCGCGGCTTGCAAAGTGGGACACAGGAAACTATATCATAGGTACCAGTACCAGCGCGAACTTTCCGGGCTACATCTGGAAGGATATCAACAACGATCACATCGTGTACTTCCGCCTCACTGATGCGCAATTGGCCAATGGTGCAAAGATCAGGATCGGTGTCACAGAGGGTTCTGCAGGTGGACGACCAACTATTGTGATGAACAGTTGGAGTGCTCCTTTGCAGGCTGATAAGGGCCAGGGGGACACTAGAAGTCTGACTGTTGGAACGTATCGCGGCAATAATTACGTCTATGAGTTCAATGTCCCAGCAAGTGCTTGGGTGAACAGTGCTAGGGAATACCAGCTGCTGAAGATCTCTGTGATCTCTGGGAAAACTTCTACTGGCTACTTGAGTCCGGGAATGAGTGTCGATGCGATCGACATGGTCGCAGCCTAGAAGGGATCGAATTCTCAGCCCATTTCGCGTGGGGCTTGCAGTCAAGTGGACATGGTAGCCAGGCGGTACATATTAAGCAGATCCACCACTCTTATAGATGCTTCTCCTGCGGTTTGAAGCTCTCTCTACCGTGAAGGTGAAGGTGACTGTGACTTTTCGTCCTCGACTACCCGCCTTCAGCACCAAGTCCTGCTAGCGAGAGCTTCGCGAACCTTAGCAACCACAATATAAGGAAGGCACAACTGCCCTCCCTTTCTCTTCTCCATTACATCTAACAGTAATCACTTGCTCTCATTCTTCTCAAACAGGATATACTGACGGTGTGTAGAATATGGTACCATCTTCATCAGCTCCCTACTGAATTGAAAGTGGCCACATACCAGCCCAAGCGATGGACTCTCGAGACTAGCAGTAGGGTGCAAGTCGCTATGATCTACACCAAGACGAGCGATAAGGTCTAGATGACTTAATCGCCAGTCCATACTCCGACTAAAATAACGATACGCCCAAATTCCTACACGGACGCAAGAAAAGGTATTCGTTCACGACATTGACTTTGGCGCTGTAGCTAAGGAAATAATGCGTGCTCGCGGCGAAGTAGCGCCGAAGAACTTCAATGAAACGGGCGAGGGATTTTGGTATGACCAGCTTTGCTTTATAACTTCATCGCAGCACTAAATGATTATATTTCTCAACGGGTTGATGAGACAAAGTGTTCACGAAGGTAAGACGTGTCATATTCGCATTAATCATTGAAGTCCACGCCGACACCTGTAACGCCAGAGCATGTCGACTTGTCGAAGCTATTCTTTCCCAATCGCATCATCTCCATTCATCTATCATCATGAGTCGTACTGATTTCTCTCCTTACATGCTCCTTGATATCATATTCTTTGTATCTCCTGTTGCCAACTCTGATGTGTCTGACCTTCTGGGAACATGCTACTAACGATCTTGCCCGTCTTCATATCCAGATATGATCCCGGTGGTATTTGGGTATGCAGTCCAGCCGGGCTTGCACTTCCGCCTCCACTTCCACCGTTCTGCCTGGGATCGAGGAATTGTCCATGTCCACTTACGCCTGATCCGGGCCGTTGAGGTTGAGAACTGGATCGCTCGCGCCACCGTTGACTCTGCTCATCCTCCCGGCTGAATTGCTGGTACGGACTGGGCATGCGGACCTCAGGCTGAAAGGTGGCGGCGCGCGGTGGTGCAAAAGAGGGAGGTTCCCACTGACTTCTTCCTGTCGCCCTGTCAACGTAGTACCAAAGTTGACTCCTCGCATCGTACTCTTGGGCCCAACCTTGGGGCGCTGGTGGTGGAGGACCCCCTTGTGGAGCAGGGCTGCCAGGGTAGCCACCTTGGGAAGGCGGCCGACCTTGATGCTGATATCCAGACATCTGATGATATCCCTTCGCACGTGGTGGTGATCTATTTCCACCACGTTTCTGCTGCTCGAACTTGTGGATCTGCTTTGTGATGTAATCGTCTGCGCGTTGTATGTAGGTTTCGAAGGACATGGTGGCGTTTGTCTTGCAGAGCCTGATGAAGCTAGTTCCGCACTGCACTGCGATATAGATGGACTAAAAGGGTAACAGACGATGATAGTTGTAGTACGTTTCACACAGCCACACATAGGGGCGTTACGCTATATATACTCTGCCCAATCCCCTCCCCACGGTATGCGTAAGCCACTCGTTAGCCACATGGTGCCAACTGCTCTACCTTACAATGCAGGACTAGCCGCGCCATCACACTGCAGAAATCTCATCAAACTGGCGCCACAATTCCCAAGCTTAGCACGGCTTGTATGGCGCAGGTCGCAATGTGATTGGTGAAAGCAGTAGCGGTGCGGAAAAGGCGGAACTGTGGCTCGCGTCATGTGGCTTTCGCGTGTCGGCTAAGGCCGGCTAGCTTGCCGGTTTCCGTGGCGCATGCGACAGCGATAATTGTGACAACAACTTTTCATACCTAGGTATTGCTAACAGCACCCGGAAACCATGGTGCGACAACTACAAAGGCCCGTGTACCTTCTTCTCGGCGTTTGCCAGTGACTTAAGACCATTGCTGCTCCCTCACTGGCGAAATCCTATCGCAACTTCATGTCATTGTATTTCACCGCGCTTCCAGAGAAAACCGAGCCAGCAGGATAAGAAAAGAAAGTTTAGTAGTTCCTTCGCGCAGCAGTGATATGAAGATGAACCTAGCGCAGCTTTCACCTCTAGTGATGTGTAACAGGCTTTCTTTTCGGAGCCATGTCCGAGCGATGTCCATAATCGGGCATCGCTTGGCCTGAACATAGGCTCAAGGTGAGTGTCGCAGCGCTAGATGGTCCGGAAAAGGCCCTTCTTAATCGATAATTGCCAGGCCTGTTCGCTCTTTCATACTGATGCATTCGAGCCCACGGCATCACTGTCTGTCCGTGTGCCTGTCGACATATTCGCTGCAAAGCTGAAAATGATTCGCTACGAGGATGTAGCTTTCATTGTGGACAGGTGATCAGTCGGATGCGCATGCAGGTATTATGAAACGAGTACAAGCACTTACTGAGGTCAGACCATAGGTATATTGAGCGGAGCACGTGCTGTCCTCGTATCATCGTGGTACGCGGTACATGCTCGGAAGGGTACACGTAGGCCGTAATTCCTTGACGTCCTCGATGACGAAAGAATAAGCACTGCCGCTTAGGCCTGTTCTCTAGTGTTTTCGGCACTCCAAAAACACGGGCCCCATCGTATTGATTAGCAGGGAGATGAATGAGCAAGAACTGTGTCAGTAGTCAAAGACTTGGGAAACGGGGCAGAGAGCAGTATGCTTGGTCACTCGGATGGACGACTGAGATCTGCGGCATGCTTGCACTGGGTTGATTGCAGAACCCCAGCATTGACCTACCCACTTCTGCATGCAGTCTTGGTTGCATACCTCATCGTTGCGTACGCGGAATGACGGCAGCCATATGGTCATACATAACTTGGCCGCCAGTCGTCATCATCACGTTCATGGCCCAGATGTTAGGCTATTACAAAAGTCAACATCGATATTCGAATTTTTAACACAATTATGTTTTGGGCCAGGAGACAGGTTTCCCGGTGCAGTGGACTTGCCTCACCATCTCTATTTCGAACTCTTGATAAAGTCCCCGCGCAGCCACTTTGGCGCACCTCTCCTTACGAAGATCATGTCGTTCTCCGTATCTAGTCCAAGTGCACTGAACCACTCCAAAGCATCCTCTGGTACGTGCGGCAACCTCGTAACAGAAATTGGACATTGCTTGACCCAAGGCATTTGGCTCTTGGGATTCAGTACTAGCCTCAGTCCGAAGACACTCGGCTCTTTCAGCTCCACGCTCTTGAAAACGTTGTCGACTGCGGCCTTCCACTCTCCTTCGTAACCGACGAACAATTCGTTGAAGACTGCACCACCCTTTCCTGTAAACTCGTAGTCGAGACCAGGCGTATGGAAAAGACTTAGTAACAGAGGTCTGATTTCGATAGGTGTATCGTATTTACCACGGCGTTCGACATCAGTACGAATCGTGAGCCAGGCCATGATAGTGTTGCGATCGACAGCATGTTTGCCAGACGAGGGGTAGATGGTCTCCAGGTAGTCTTGCGCATCACGAATGTGCACCGATATAGCACGATCCCTGAGATACAGTTCGCGAAACTCCCGCCGTGTCTGTCGAGACACTTGGGTCAAGCTGTAGTAACCGCGGGCCGCCCAAAAAGCTTCACTTGTTGTCGTGATACTGCGCCGGCTGACATGCTGCTCAATAAGGCGCTGCTTGTCATTTGCAGCAAGCATGTATATCCTGTTGCGCACCTCTGCGCATCTGTGAGCTGAGAACGAGTTATGCCGAGGTTGGTTACGGTACCTTGCGGAAGGTCGCTAAAGCCGCGCGCAGACCTCGCATGGGTCACGGTGGAAGGGTTCGAAGACATTGTGACACTCATTGTAATGTTGTTACAAGCTTTTGCGCAAAACAAAAGCTTTCTTGGGGGTTTACGGTGGTTAGGAGGTTGATGTGGAGAGATGCACATTAAGGAAGGTGAAGGGCGGAGGATCAGCATGCTAGCCGCAATAGGCAGGACGTAATCTGGGGCCGCTGAAGATACGTAATTTGATTATCGTCCGAGCGACGAACGACGTATTCACTCACACGTCGTGTTGGCTTACTTCTGATTGAACAGCGAGACATGCCTTCTGACACCTACATCCCACCAAACTGGTTTTCTTTGAACAAAGCGGCGTGCACAGCCTGCGTCTGACAGAACACGTCTCGTAAGCCATTCCAACGTCAACATTTGATCCAATCCTCCATCCAGGTCCATATATGCAGCCTCCAACTAACTTGCCTATGCTCATATCGCGTCGGGAGGACTGCAGAATCTAACACAGCCGAGTTTGTATGTCAGACTATGATCATCGTCGCCACTATGTGTTGCTATCCCGTGGATGAACGTGGACGGCAGATAGGAGAACGAGGCTATTCTCCAACTTCTCAGTCATGAGATGAAGCGTCTTTTTCACTACCTTGAAGTATTCCACAGGTAGCGAGCGAGAATTTCCACCATGATAGTCAACGAGCATATTCGTTGTAATGTTGGCATTTCATGTTATGCATTTGCCAACTACAAGATCTTTGGTCCAAGAACCCGTATCAATATCCCCCTTTCTGCACATCTAAGACGATTGATGATCTACTACAGGCCATCCTGCGCACCGGTCTGCTTCGACTCACCACCGTCAGACAAATTGCTTTTCATATTCACCGTCTTAAGGAATGCTAAAGCATCCCTTCCCTGACTGTGCTCCCGCATCGCCCTTTGCAAAATTTGCACCACGTACGTATGAGCTTCAACTGGTAGATTGTTCTTGAAACTTACCATCCACTGACGCGCGTTCATCCTGTCCTGCAGAGGCAGTGAGGTGTTTTGGGTAATCAGAAAATTCTGCCACATTTCTGGAATGTGGCGACTGATGTTTGCGCGGACTTGTGCAGGGCTTAGAGTGGAGTTTTGGCTTGTAGATTGCTCGTACTGGTCCTGGTTTTGCTGCTGTGGCTGTTGATTGTTGAGGCACCTGCATTTGTTGAGAAGCTTGAGGAATACTGCAGTATGATTCTTGCGAAGCTGGCTGCTGGAATGGTTGGGTTGGAGATGACTGGATGAGTTGAGCGGACCAGATGCCCGGTTGGGGCTGAGGTTGGGCATATCTCTGCGGAGTTTGAGTAGGAGGTTGGAGTTGTTGGACATGCTGTATATGGTCCGTCTGCGCTCTCTCTGGAACCGCCTGCATATGGAGCTGCTGTATCCTCTGTTGTTGCAGATCCATCGCAGCTTGTACATTGATGACTGAATTGTTGACCATTCTGGTGATGTTTCGAATGTCCGACATGGCCTTTACCCCTAGAGCGTCATCTGCAGCAGAATTTCGCACGACGACCCAACGGTCAACAAGGACCTTTGCAATCTCCAAGCGCTTAGCGGGATTGATGCAGTCGTAGCGAGAGTTGCGCAATATATCATTCGGTTGGAGGAGAGATATCTGCTGGCTGGATTCTGGAGAATCGTTTGGAGCAGGGATTGGAGGCAAGTTGTTGGACAGGCCTGTGGCATGCTGTGGCTGCCGTTGAGATAGATTTGCGGGTGGGGGCAGCATCGTCGTCTGTAACGCGAAAGGCGAAAAAGCATCAGACTTTTGACGCGAGCCCATTTGCGCTAGAGTCTCGTCGATATCGGTAGTAGAAGATGAGCGCAGGAAAGATGGCTGTTGTGGCTCAACGTCCGCACTGTGTATGACTGGAGTATTCCTAGTGTGTATCTGGTGCTCAGTCATTCCTACAGGCTGTTGCTGCTGCGAAGGACTAAAAGGGACCACTGTTTGAGACCGACGACGGCGCTGTGATACATTCAACGTCTTTCGTCGCGCCATGTCCTCCTCAGAGATAGTGCAAACGCTTTGTGGTGGTAGCAGCGGGTTCAGGAGACTACCAGTTTGGGAGTGTACATAGGAGCCGTGTGTACTTCTACCATTGTTTGCTCCGCTCATGTCGCTGCCAGGCTCGTTCTGTCCAGCCAAGAGCGTTTGCGCGGTAGCATTCTTCGACTTCTCGGGGTCTTCCGTGGTCTTGTGCGACCAAGTTCGCGATGGCATACTGTTAGTGTACCGAATAGGCGCAGAGGCATCTATGGGATATATCATAGGGTGCAGACCAGGCTCCTGTGTTGTTATAATGCGTGGGTCCGGTCCATAAAGGAAGTCTGAATAGGCGGGGAAGATGTCGCAGTCGCGCTGCAGTTCCTCCCATTCCTGGTCGCGGAAAGGCATGTCTAGAGATGTCTGTTGTCGATACGGGTAATGGTGGTGGTGATGATGTTGTGGCAGGGAATAAGTTCTGTGCGCTCAGTACGTGCGGGGCCACGAGGAAGGTGCGGTGAAAGAGCGGGACATTGAGCTCTCACTTCCATTCTACTGTGATTTCTATAGCGGAGCTTATACATCAATGTTCAGACTATCTTGTTGAGGGCTTTGGCAGCAACTCGATGGCTTTCGAAAATTGTTGAGTTCAGCATACCAAATTGATTCAGACTGATGACAAGAGCAGACACGGAAGTCTTACCACACCTGACCATGATCATTTCGAGCAGTCTGACCCATGATCCAGCTCGCATCGTGCGACAGTATCAATGCCATTTTGACTTGACATGGTAAGTCGCTCATGACTTACTGTTATATATCGGAAGGGCGGAGCAGCAGAAAGACTGAACGTCGCCGAGCCCGGTTCATTCACGAAGCCGGAAGCAAGCTGCGTCCATACACTCTTGCGACGGGAATAAAGAGGGAGACGATGATATGCCAGAAGGATGCCTACTTGAACCCATCTCTTAAGGCCTGGACTGATGACAGGATACGTGACAAGATTGAGTTGGAGGATACATGGGTTTGCCACTGCGCATTGTGTAACTCAGAGCAGTATTAGTAGATATTCCAGTTGTGTACTGGACACTAAGACATGGCCAACTCTGCCAGGGTGTGAGAGGCGAGGGGTTGGCGCGAGGAAGGACGTGAAGCATGACAGTTCACGTCGGCAAAACCATTCACCGAGGACGCCAAAGAATGTCGCGCTCCCCACCACCCCGCCACCCTCGTGCCGATCTCACAGCAAATAACCCACGGTCCTTACCTCGCATCGATTAGTTTAGTCTTCAGCCTTCCTTCTGTACTACGACACTCTGCATCATCACCATGAGCGACGCGCCGCCTGCACCCGAGCCAGAAACCCTCGAAGCGCTACAATCTCGACACCGTAAAGAGCAACGCGACCTCGTATCCCGTATCACACAGAAGAAGAAGCAAGCAAGCAAAAAGACACGCAAGGGTGTCAACGATGAGTGCGAACGGCTCGAGCGCGAATTGAAGGAGCGTCAGGCGCATGAAGTCGCTGTTCAGAACGGCGAGGCCGTAGATGCTGAGGAGCATGTAGAAGACGCACAGAGCTCTGGAGACGAGGCGCAGGATATACAGGACGACGTTGCAAACCTCAATTTAGCTGCCTCTGCTTCAGACAGCAAAGAGAGCAGTACGAATGGCGATTCTGCTGAACCCAAGAAGAAGAAGCCAAATCGCGCAAAAGCCCGCCTCGCCCGCCGCGCCGCCGAACAAGCCTCCATGATCGCCGAAGCAGAGCGCGAGGCCGCCAACGCACCGAACCCACGTGAACTAGAACGAGAACGCATGGCGGTACAACTGAACAAACATGGGCTGGTGCTGCATGAGATACGAGCCGACGGTCATTGTTTGTATGCGGCGGTCGCGGATCAGTTGCAGACGCGAGAACTGGGCCTAAAGCCGAGAATAGGTGTCACCATCACTGGACAGGGCGACGAGGAGTCAGACAAAAAGCCACAAGGATACAAGACCGTCAGACACGCAGCGGCAGACTGGATCCAAAGCCACGCCGACGACTTTACAGGCTTCATGGAAGACCCGTTGCCCGAGCACGTCCGCAAGATTAGAGAGACGGGTGAATGGGGTGGACATCTGGAGCTGCTTGCGCTGGCCAGGACATATGGTCTGAGGATACGCGTACTGCACAGCGACGGCCAGGTGGACAAGATAGAGGCTGAAGATGAGGTCAAAGAAAAGGAGGAGATATGGCTGGGATACTACAAGCACAGTCATGGGTTGGGCGAGCATTACAACTCACTACGCAAGGCAGGCTGAACGTGAAATCAGCGATGCGAACATGGGTGCCTTGTAAGCTGTCTACCGGAGCTATACAACGTCCTCCTAGCCAACTGTACTCAGTGCCATTTCTGATCATCCGGACAATCCGCCTTGTGCCGCCACATACTCACGCAGTCTCTTACGAGGCCCTTGATGACGCCAATCTCGTGGGTCCGCTTGGGGGTGTAGTGCGCAATCTTGACCAGCGCGTTCTCTGTCTCCTCTCGATCTGTTTTGGTTACGACCCCTTGGTCGTCATACGAGATATCCTGACCCGGTCGTTTGAGCAGCTCACTGTGTACAAGTGGAGGAAGCGACCACGGAGGTCCGCCAGAAGATGCGGGCTTGTGTGTGGGGAATTCAAGACAGATGAGCACACCGCCAGTAGAAGTGGTGTTTGGTGAGGGGCGGCGGAGGAGCGTGGTGGTACGAGATGCCCATTTTGGTCTCAGAGAGGGAGGGAGTGCGCAAAGAAACTGTCCATCGCGTCAGTACACGCTGCCAGACACATCCCACACGCTACATGTAATGCTTCACTTACCGTGTTATCGTAGATGATGTCAAACCCCTCATCGCTTTCCCAGCCTTCCACATCTCCTAACCAGCCGTCTTTGAAATAATCCCCACACACAACTCTCATCGCGCCCCTTCCGATCTTCTCGTCCATGACTGCATACTCTCCTTCCAACGGCCCCTTTCTGGGTTCCTCTAGGTACTTTCTCGCAGCGTCAGCAGCATGCGAGGACACTTCCAGCCCATAAGCGTCATAGCCATATGCCGCAAATAGTGCTACGTCATATCCTTTCCCACACCCTGGCACAAGCACTCTCCTCCTTTTCCCGTCATCCTTCAATGGCCCAGCGAGAGAAGCGTAGCCCGCCGATTCGCTGTTTGGTGGCGGTGCACCGAGGGAGGGATTGGGGTCCGGTGAGGAGAGCGGGCGACCACGTTCCCGGAGCAGATCAATTAGCGCAGGATTTGCGTGACCACGGTCCCAAGGCAGGAACGTAGACTCTCTCCAGAGATCGTCCCAGCGGTTGTTGTGCTCTGCATCGGGAGCTGAGGAGAAGTGTGAACGGAGGCGGTCTTGGTTTTGGGTTGCCATGGTATGGCTGATCGGCGATGCGGTACTTGGAGAGTTGGAGGGGTGCGTGCTCAATGTCAATGGCCTGACGGTGTCGTGTGGCCGCTTTCGAACGACGATGAGTTGGAAGCTGGTAATCGGGACGCCGAGGCCCCTCCAAGCTGTTGAGCTAACCCATCTTTACCCCACCACAAACGTGCTCGTGCGACAACGCTAACGGTGACGTTAACGGCCGTGCAGGTGCCATCGGATGCTGCAGTGTCAACCTCGAGTGTCTCTGGATTTGGCTGACAGTCGTTCAAACACAAATATCGGAAACTTTGTTCTCGATCGCGGCGGCCCGCCTTACGACGGATGTGTCGATCCACAGGTCTCCACGTGACATCCCGTACAATCAAGCTCCAATTACCCGGATCGCATGCATGCATCCTTCTAGCCCCACCATGGCTTCGGATATAATTAGAGCGAGTTTGTTTCCGCATAGCAACACTCCCAGTTCGGCAACCCGTTGCGCTTAGTTATCGCTCGACAGCGGCGTTTTCGCTGGGTTGTGTCTGGAGTCATGGCGGGCTTTAGCTTTCCTTCGTTTGCAATTCACTTGTTGAGGATACACTGTGTTGAACACAGGGTACAGGTGCGCGGTGAGAGCATGCTGAAGAGCTAGAGATAGCGGCTGTCGACAACCGAGGTATTACGACGCATACGGAAAAGCGACAGTGCATGCGGAAACCGGAGCGAGCTTTTGCTTGAACGAAAGACTCGGACGTTACGTTGTCTGGGTTTCTTTCCTCAATCTCTGCGACGGGCGATAATGGCAGATCATGACAGGTCGAGATCGCCACCAAGGATGTTGAAACAGGAGGATGAACCCGACCGAGGCACCGACCAAGACGTAAGATATGAGCAGGATGAAGGTTTACCAGAAAAAGACATCATGGAGACGGGAAACCAGAGAGATACAGAAGAAACAATGTCAATCTCATCGTCCCGAGCCTCGACCGCGTCAGGGCATTCTAGCAATGCCGATCCGCCCAGAACATCGAATTCAAAACAACGTCCAGTAACCCTAGCCAGAACTGCCTCGATCCTGCCCGATGCTATTGTCGTTCCACGCTCGCAGCGGCGTGGACTTCTTGCTCGCTTTGCCCTCATCCCGGAGGTCGAGAACCCAGAGCATTATGCGCGGCAAACGAAATGGTTTCTGACCTTCATTGTCGCATTCTGCGCCATGGCAGCACCCATGGGCAGCGCAATTGTCATGCCAGTGCTGCAGGAAATCAGTACAGCCTTCAACGCGACCGAGACAGTGACCAACATGAGCGTTGCTGTGTACATGCTTAGCATGTCCATCTTCCCCTTGTGGTGGAGCTCTTTTTCGGAGCGACTGGGCAGGCGTACTATATACATAAGTTCGTTCATACTCTTCGTAGTATTTGCCATACTCTCTGCCATCAGCAAAAGCATCGCCATGCTCATTGTCTTCCGTGTTCTGTCTGGCGGCGCAGCAGCATCTGTACAAGCGGTAGGGGCAGGGACCATCGCCGATGTCTGGGAGACGAAAGAGCGTGGACGAGCAATGGGTATCTTCTATCTTGGGTCAGTAATTCCCATGTACAAATTGCATGTGAGACACAAACTGACTTTATGGATGCACATCCAGACCTCTCTGCGGCCCACTCTTCGCCCCCATCATTGGTGGTGCTTTAGGCTCAGGTCTAGGTTGGCGATCAACACAATGGTTCCTGGTCATCTATGGCGGCATGACACTCATCTTCATCATCTTCGCACTCCCGGAAACCCTGCACAGGAAAGAAAAACCATCTGCTGATCCGACAGCAGCACCAGCCGGTAACGAAACCGAGAAGGAGCAAAGTACAACACTCGGAAGAAGCGCAACCCGCGCCTCAACCGTTCAAAAGACCAAGGGCGTACTTCTTCATCTCCGCCATATCTTCATCGACCCCTTGCGCATCATAGCATGGCTCCGGTTCCCACCAGTCCTCCTAACCGTCTATTACGCCAGCATAACATTCGGCAGTCTCTACATCCTCAACATTAGCATCCAGTCCACTTTCGCCGCTCCACCCTACTCATTCTCTACCCTCATCATCGGCCTACTTTACATTCCCAACTCGGCCGGCTACCTTCTCGCCTCACTGTTCGGCGGTAAATGGATTGACAGTATCATGCACCGCGAAGCCCGAAAAGCGGGACGTTACGACGACAAAGGCAAGCTTATCTTTCGCCCCGAAGACCGGATGAAGGAGAATGCGTGGATTGCTGCTATCCTTTGGCCTTCGGCCCTGATCATTTATGGTTGGACAGCGGAGAAGGGGGTCCATTGGATCGTGCCCATGATTAGCAACTTCTTTTTCGGCATCGGTAGTATGCTCATTTTCGCGCTGGTCAACACTATGCTCACGGAGTTCATGCCTCGGCGGGCTGCCTCTGGAATTGCGCTGAACAATTTTGTGAGAAACATCTTCTCCTTTACGGGCGCGGTAGTTGCAGAGCCGATATTGAGCGCCATAGGAAATGGATGGTTGATGACGATCTTAGGCATTTGGAGCGTGGTCACAGGGTGTGCGGCGCTCTATGCTATGGGCAGATGGGGTGGGAAGTGGAGGGAAGCTATGGTCAAGGTTATGGGCTGATAAATTGGAATTTGAGGACGCTCGTCGTTGTGATTCGATGTATCGCATTACTATATTTGACTGCAAACGTTGTGATTTCGTATATCAGACGTTTCGTAGCGAGACGAATATGCGGGTTGTAAGCTACATACTTCATTGAAAGCTCATTGAAGAGTACATCCTTCCACGGCTTGCGGCGCAGACCGCGTCCGGGTTACCAAACAGCTGGCGACTCCGATGCATTCGGCGGCTCTGCACATCAAGCTGGCCCCTTTGGGTCTTGGCTCAGCTGTATCAACAATGACGTCACCACCCGCGAGCTTTGCCGTGCTCGTTCCTACGTCCATTGCCTCTTCCCTATATCACCTTGGTATTCATTTCTTGTCCCTAACCTATCAAATTGATGTCCTCCACGGCACTCTGTGGCTAAAGAGGTGCGCAAAGACTGCTAAATGGCTTAAACCACGCGAATGGCCTTTGCGATCGCGAGTTGACACAACCACCAGAACTCCTACTGGATCTGCACCCTGTTTGACAGGAACTCTTCAACACGCGCCTTATAGGCGCCTATTTTTGGATCGATTGGTTCGCTCAGCCTATTTGACGTTCTGCAACCGCAAGTCAAAACGCGCCGCCCCTGTCGCGTTACCTCGATGTTAGCTCACGATGTAAGTTAGGGGTCTTCAGAAGTTGTTCCTAGTGAACGAGATGCATTCAGCCATGTTGAAGGAGAGTCTCTCAGATGTGAGAATGGAACATGGGATAGTATGATAAGAGAGCTATGGTCCGGACTTGCATAGCGCTGCAGCGAGCTTTCACATCTCGCGAATCGTTACTCATTCATCCTTGTCATATCATTCTACATGGATACGTCTCGTCAATCTTTGTGCTCACGTCGGCCTGCCGATAGCTCTGATTCTGGCGCCCCAATACCACAAGACAGCGCACACTGGTAGTCCCAAACCAATCGCGACGAACCCCAACGTACTGTTACCCCACCCATATCCCAGCGTTTTGTATAGATTAGGCGCGAAGATCGGGAACACAAACGCAAGACCATATGAAACTGAGCGAACACCAGCACCTGCAGAAGCTGCGAACTGGCCAAATTCCTCGATCATATGCGCGATTGTTGCTTGGTTCACAATGAAACTGCCTAGCGTGAATATGATGACGCCGACGTCGACCATCATCCAGTGGAGTGTGCGTTCGGCGGACCAACCATACCAGAAAAGACCGGCTGGCATGATGACCATCCCAGGAACCATGTACGGGATGCGGAACTCGGGAACACCTTTACCACCAGTCCGTTTGGTCAGGTGTCGATACCACCAGTCCATAATACGACCGCCCAGCTGGCCGCAAAGTGTCGCGCCGATCGCAATCGATATGTAGTGCAAGCTACTGGTCAGCTCAGATTGTCCGTACTTCTCGATCCACAGCGACGCATATGTCGAGAGCACAAGGGTGTAGACAGCGAAGGACAACGTTGCGGTCAGTGCATTGAGCCAGATGATAGGTCTTCGCACAAGTATGCGGACCGGACGCAAGAGGTTCCGCGCAATACGAGCGCGTTCTGCTTTAGCAGTAGGGACGTTACCACCATCAGCTAACGCTTTACGACGTAGCAAGACTGGCGTATACGATTCGCGAATCCAGAAGAAACCGACAACCAGGATGAAGGCGTTGAAGATGCTCATGATCCAGAAAACCCACGACCAATGTATAGAGTGGGTAACTAGACCACCGACGATGGGTCCAAGTGCTGGGCCAAGGAAGGGGAGCAAGTTGACCATAGCCAGAGATTTGCCGCGTTCGTCTTCGCCATACATGTCGGCCATCACTGGACCATTCAACTGTACTAAATTAGCTATCTTCATGTTGGATTTGATCAGCCTTGTCACTTACCGTCACGCCAACACTTGCCCCAGCTCCGGCCATAAACCTCCCGACGATCATCAACCCGGTGTTTCTGCCCACTGGACACAGCGCGTTCCAAACCACGTACCAGGCATTACAAACTATCCAGACTGGCTTCCTCCCCCATACCTCACTGGCACTGGCTATCAGGAACGGCGCAAAGGCCATACCAAGGAAGTATACCGACATGGTTATCTGGGCTGTGGAAGCGCTGATAGCAAGATCTGAAGCGATTGCAGGAAGTGATGGCGCAATCATACTTGCAGACATGATGGGGATCAACTGGCCGAAGGAGAATATCGTCCCGATGACGAACTTGCGTAAAGGCTTCCAGTTGTAAGGATCCGATGAATCTGCTGGAGAAGCCCATGTTGCCTGGGCTGTTAGCAAAATGTCATCGGCCTAGAAAGATGACATACCCCGTGCTCATTGCTCAAACGTACTAGACGGTCGTTGGCAAGGTCGACAATTGGAGACGATATCTCCGGGTTTTCGCCATCGTAGTCTTCATGCTTGTTCTGAGATATGTTGTTGGTTGTATAGACAATAGTAGGCTGAACTGTTTTCTCATGAACTCCAGAGTGCGACATTCTAGTAAAGCTCTTTATGCTATTAAGCCCCAATTCTAGTCATTCTAAACTTCCTTTATATACTGATATGATATATGCGCTCGGAGTTCGGATCTAATCTTATCAGATCGGAGTTCTCACAGCTCGGACATAACCACCGTTGCCTAGCAGGATCTGATAACGCCTTACATGCCGCTGCTGATACTTTGACCTTCCTATTCTAGTTGCAGCAATGGGATAATCAACGGCTAATATGAAGTTATTTTCGCTGTAGCACGGTAAGGTATGATAGCGTTCTTCTTGCATTATAGTATGCATTGATACAGCGCTACTACTACTGCGTTTTCGTTCCACCTGAACAACACTGACGCTAAGAAACCAGTCAGAATGTTATCGTCCGCGCACTGTTTCCTCTCCCTCTATCGCTCGTTTATGTATGACCTCTGCTTGACCGTGCTCATTTTGCTGTAGATATCCTATGCCGAACTGTATGATGCTGATATAATTTATAACACGAAAGAGTCTATCACGCAAAAGTAAAAATAACATGTGCCATATCTCCTCAATCGGAAGCAACACACCGTTTCATGTGCCTCTTAAGATTATCTTCACGCGTGAACAGTTGTCCAGGCTTCTTACACCAAGGATTGGGACATTTAAATCTTTCTCCTCCTTCGTGTGTCGCTTCGTGACGCTCGAGGTTCGTCCGAAGGCCGGATGTCTTCCCGCAGCCGTCATGAACACATCTGAACCGGTGATTGTGCTTTCCCTTGATGTGCCTGCTACTAAAAGTTAGCGAGGATAGACATGGGTAAGATGGTTATTGCACACCTAAGTTCGAACCGTTTTTTGGCGACGTAGGTACATTGCGGGCATGGAAACGAAGATAGATTAGGGGACATCGTTGTTGGACCGGTGTGTTTGGATGCGAAAGAAGACTTCTCATTGAACTTGGTGGCGCCTTTGTTGTCGAAATTGTCAGCCGTATGCGAACTGAATTCTTCTCTTTCACCAGCTATATCCATGCGACGGCTTTCCAATGGTGTACTCTCGACCACGAAAGAATCAGAATCTGTTGACTGGGGATGCTCAGATCGTAGATGGGCATGGATAACAGGATTTGGCTCCCATTCATAAGCCGACGGAGGAAAAGAGGGTTCTTCTTGATTGTTAGGATCTCGTGTATCCTCTTCCGTTCTATCTTCTTCTTCACCCGCTAGTCCAGCGAAACCCGCGAAAAAATCTGCGACCTCTTTCCATGATCTACAAGATCTTCTTGCGGCCTTCCAATCACCTGGTAGTCGGTCTGCCGAGAGTTAGAATACTACTTGAAACTAATTGCGCTACAGACTTACCAAACAAAGACCCACTGCCGAGTTTAAAGCCGATTGAATTAACCAGGAACTTGAGTAGTTCAAACGGAACGCGACCAGCATCAAGAAGTAGTCCAGGGACCCCATCAGCGTGACATCCCTCGAATCGATTATAAAACCGTAGAACATTGACACTAATAAGGACACCCCATGCGCCTTCGTGTTTAAGTCCTTTGACCTTTCGGTAGTAACTCATAGCTCGTTTCAGCAAACACAATAGTAGCCAGAGACCACTCATTGTGCAAGTCCAGTAGAAGAATGACTGGAGAGTGAGCGCAATGACTTGATACCAGTATCGCACCACAAACCCGATGGTTGATAGACCAGCGATGACGCAGAAGTTCGCCAGAATCCAATCTTCGAAGTCGTTGGTGCGTACTCCGAGGTCCTGATTCTGTGGTCGCTTATTCCCTTCAAGTTCTAGTATGTAGTGCGTCCCTGCCATCGCTATAGTATTGAAGAACAGCCAGTTCTTCTGGATGCACCCGAGGTATAGAGTGATAATACATATCCAGCGCAAAGCGAAGGGCATGAGAGATGAGAAATTAAATGGCAGAGTAAACGGCAGAGTAAATGGTGTAGACACAGTAGGCGGTGTAAACGTAGTAGACGGGACGACTCTAATGCAAATCCACAATGGTCCGGCAAAGGCGATAAAAGTCGTGAAGTTGATAAGAGCTATGATCGTATAGTTCTTGAAACGCTCGATACGCATTTCGACATCGTGACCTACTGAACGGCGATTGGTTTCGTGCCTGGAGGTCGACATGTTGGAAGCTTTTGTGCGAGATACTAAACATGTAGACGAGCAAAGCATAGTGAGACTTTTGTACAATTTCCTGAGAATCTAGCATGCATGGGAGGAATACCATTTCTCTGACATCTGATTGGCTTCCGCTGCATCGGTAGCGTGCTTGCATATGTCTACATCGTAGCTGGTTTTGATCTGCGCTCTACCTGGTTTAGCTTGTCTTTTCCGCTAGCATTAGCTATGTGCGCGTCTCTGTCATGTGTAGGCGCGTGAGACCCAAGACTGCACATCCTTTGACCTACAGCTATGGAGCCTTCCATGCCTGTCATTTGCTTGCGTAATATGTTCATGCGCCCGCACAGTGAAGATGTCTCTTATCAGTTGTTGGGCTGCAAAGATGCCATCAGAGTGACTTTGATCTGTGCTGATGCAGGGCCCTGCGTCTCGTTCTTGTGCCTGAGCCCAAGTAGCCAGACGTCGCACAGTGATGCAAGGCTTCAGCCGCATTAGCGGAGTTGTATGAGGCCGCACATTCCCATGGCTGTGGCCGTCATAACTGTGTTTGGCGCAGTTTCTGTGCGGCGAAGTGCGGTTTCCACTTTGTCTTAATGTCATCGTTGCCCTGCTCTGCCGCTGCTATGATTGGTTGCATTCGGGAACAATGCCACACACATAAAGCATGTAAAGTTTGCGCCCGAGTACATGAAGCAGTGAGAGTTGGATGGAAACTGTGAGGATTCGCGACCATCATTGGGTAGGAAATCAAAGTGTTTAAATTATCGCAACACTGTTCCCCAATGATTTGATACGACGTGAATAACGGACAAAGGATGTGCTCAACAAGGAGACGCGAATATGGAAAGAAGGGACAATGGTGGCTCAGCGCAATTCGAACCATCAAAGACCCATCGTCGCAGAACAAGATACTACCTGGAACAATGCACTGATGAGCCGTTACTGAAAGAATACAGAAGGTCTTAGTCGATCCAGATACTCTCACCCAAGCTGATGTAATCATCAATGAGAGCACGGCCGTAGCTTTTGATTTTTGATGCAGCCATGTGCAGGCTTTTGTTTCTTTTGTTCTCAACAATCATTGGACGTAAGTAATTGTGGGTAGCAGAATCCTGGACGACATCGGCGGTATCGAATACGGCTCGGTCGAGACCAAGTACCGTGATATACCCAGTTGGAGAGTTTGCGATAGCGACCACATCCCCACCAACGAACGGTGCTGCCGTAAGCTGACCTTCGCCAAATCCCTGCCAGCTAGCTCGCGCAGCGACATCTATTACCTCGCCTGTTGTGACGTTGAGAGTAAAAGATGTGATGACCGCTTGGCGAGATGACTGTGAAAGTGTCCACAGAGTGGCTTTGGAGGCGGAAATGGCCAGGGATGTGGTATGAAACTCTGTCGGATCCAGAGAAGACGGTAGCAACCTGTATCGTAGGACAACAGTAGAGTTGTTCATAAGAGTGTCACCTGCCAACGATAAGACGACTAGCACATTTGCGTCCTTGGTAGCGATATACATCAAGGTCTCTGTGGGGTGCGCGACAATCTGCGAAGCGTTCGTGACATTACCAAGAATGTCAACACCAACCACGTCCTGCAAACTTGGGTCCTCGGATATGCGAAAGTTAGAAATGGATGTCGAAAGCTGCTGGGAACTGTGTGAATCGAGCGCGTGCAGATTGCGACCGCTAGGGCTCCAAGCGATAGAGTGCACATCACCGGCGATTTCTTTTGAGCGTAGGGTTTCGTAACCGTCTGGCGTCAGACCAAATACAATGCTGCAGGTACCAGTACTAGCGGTACCCCATATCGCCGTATTCTGAGTCGAAGAGCTCAGCTTGAGGGACTCAAAGCTAGTAGTGTTACCTGAACATCATTAGATGGATCCATGTAGATGCTGCAAAAAGAACTGACAAGATGATGGTATTTCCATAGTTCCTTCGCTGATGAGCTCATATGTTGGGGCAATGGAATGGCGGGTCAGGGTTCCATCTTGCGGACGGCTGCTGAAGAGGTGCTGCTTTGAACGCTTGCTTATATGTCAACGGATTCGACTCGTATCGGAGACCAAAGTACGGACATCGAGAGCCAGAGACGGCGACGGTCCACTCGCGTCTCTCGCCTGGATAGCGTATACCATCCTGGACTCATCGTCCAACTCCAGCGAGTACAAAGCCTGTCCGTTCGTGGTACCAACTGCGAGATGATGCAGCAGAGCATGCAATTGTGTTGGTGCGAACAGTACAATTGCAAGAAAAGCGAACATGGCGCCGTGTGATCACAAGAGAATGAGACTGGGACCAGCGCAACAATATGCTGTTATCAGTCGGCGTTATACCAGCAGGTGAGCAAGTCTCCGCAGTGCTCATATCTGCGAAAGCGCATTGTGGGGTGCAGCTGACGCAAGGGCAGATACCCAATATCATGGGTGAATTTCTGGTATTAGCCAGTGGTCTGAGTGCCCGCCTCTCGGTATGCTAGGTGGGATACCCAGATCATACCGGCAGTTATCACAATCAAGATGCCCTGTAAACTGCGTCTGCCGAGCAAAGCTCCAACAGTTGTGGGTGGGATTGCGGAGTAGTCTCGACGGATAGATCGCCTAATCTAACATCTTCGGTAGGTGGCTGGAAGCAGGGGTTAGACTGATGGTCAACGATCGCCTGGATAGCCAGCAATGTCCATGACGGGTACTCGCGTTCGGCAGCGACTGTGGTCACAAGCGGCGCAACAACAAATCGAGGGTTGTTGTAAAATAGGATGAAAGTGGAACGCGCGCGCATGAAACAGAAGGAGAGACTAGCAGGGAGCTTACGTCATGGTCCTGAATTGGCAAGCACCTCGCTTTCTTTCGCGACGAGCTTCCAGTGCTCCGACTTACCCACATTCCAATTGTCTTCGTCCTCGATGACAGCTCCAAGTTCTCTCATCGTCTGGTCGCGCTTCCTGTCAACTAATGGTACAGCTTCATATTGTTAATAGGGCTTCGCATGCACCTCGGCACATCGCATCTGCGGATCATTGACTTGTCGAACTATATAAAGCTTTAATAAGGAACGATGCAATCAAAAGGAGATCAGAGCTATACAAGACTACCAGACTGATAGAGATGACGAGACATTATGGTTACGAAGCAAACCAAGGTTATGCTAATGGAGCTGTTATACAGGTGGCTGGTCAGCCTGTTGTCATTGCGGCTAATTAAGTGTGTAGACTGGAAGCTCGTCATTCGTTACCATCGTGTACAAGTTATCTACCCCTTGCTTTCAGTTACGGTCTACTTTAGGTAGATCTGCGAGGTAGTCTCGGATTGCGAAATAGGCATCCTTTGCGGCCCAATTCGAATCGAAAAGAAGAGGTGTCTCATCGGGGGTGTTCTTGCCCGAGGCCTCGTTGTCACGGACACCCCATGTAGTTACGCCGACGCAGTGAGGTACCCAATAACAGTATTTGACGACATCCCGGTATTCTTGCGGGTTAGCTCCTTGAATATCCAGCTCGGTGATTGCGACTTCAGCAACGTTAGCCGCGGCTAAGGATCTCAGCGCGCCTTCCACAGCAGAAGCATGACCTATTCATCACTATTAGTATGCTTATGAGGCTGTAATGGACAAATGAAATGGACATACCTGCGTCAAGGTGTGTCTGGGATCCGATTCCATCGATCAAAGGTCTTCCACCAGCCTGCCATTTGCCATTCCACTCATTCACTTTAGCGACCATGAACTTGTGTTCTGCGTACGTCGCATCCTCTAGATTATAATCGTTGATGTACAATTTAGCGTCCGGATCGGCAGCGCGAGCAGCTTCGAAGGCGACTTTGATGTACTCATCTCCCCTTTTTCAAACTTAGTACGCCTTTGTCGCTTATTCGAGTGCACTTACAAGACATCGTAGAACGGATTGCTGCGCATATGGTCTCCCTCAATCGCCTCGTTGACCACATCCCACGCTCGGATCTTGCCCTTCCAGCCGTCACGCCCTACCAACCTCGTCACATGGTCTGTGATCGCGTCCCTCATCCCTTGTTTATCTTTTATGGCTCTCACATAGTCTGGAATCGAGTCCCACCACAGCAGTGTGTGGCCGCGGATACTCTTCTGGTTCGCTACAGCCCATTTGACAAGATTGTCCGCCTTGTCCAGAGTCATAACGTTGCGTTCTGGTTGAGTCTCGGCCCATTTCATTGTGTATTCTGGTGTTACTTGGCCAAAATCGGCGCTGATGATGCCTTGATTCTCTCCTTCAGATAGTCGAGCAAACTCAGTAGCCGTGCCGAAGTAAATTTTGCCGACCTCTCTGAAGAGCACATCAATGCTGCCCTCTGGTCTCGGAGCCGCTCTCCGGTTCAGTGGACTAGCTACAGCCAGCATAGGTGCGAGGAGGAGGGGCGCAGTCTTCATGATGGGTGGTAGTCGCGGATGAAGGAAGAATTGGGAGTGAGAAGTAGAGAGGTGTTTTGCGAATCTATGCTTCGGGGATAACCTTTATAATCGCTCTGCAGCTAGCACAGCGTCTAACATACCACTTCGTACAGACTCTCACCTTCAATCAGGTCATCTCCACAAATCCTTAGTGTACAGTGATGTTGTGGCTTGCTACGCTCCACATGGTATGGTTAGGAAGCTCCACTAGAGAGTCCGTGCCATCGTGTTTGCCTGCGCCAACACATCGGATTCTCAAGGAAGGTCTGCTGCAGGTACTATTAGGAGAAACTAATGCCACTAGACAGAACAGCAATGTGCCGGAGACGGATGCCTTCCTTGCCGTATCCTATCCGGTAACGCAACGTTGGTGGCTTGCAACTATACTAAAAGCTGCCTAGGTCTTCCACCCGCGTAGGGGACCATCGCAGCACGTTACATACAGCCTTCCTTCCTCGTTCTTAGTATGCTCATACCAATACGAAGCTGGCATTTATCTGCCTACGTTGTTTCCAGGCCTCCAATCCTGCAGGCTAGACCGCGGTTTATCAGGAACCGAGGGGCGCCGGAAATAAAGGCATCGACGAGTGCAACTGACCTCAGGCGCCTCTCGTCGCACTATACATGGCTGCTATCAGCCTACGATTGCCGGATACCTTTTTTCCTCTAGACAGAGAGGGTTCGTATCACTCACTGTGTGGTAGTATAACGATGTCACATCGCCACTGATCGTGGCATACTCTCTACGAAGTACATTGCCGCTAGCGAGCCGGTCCTTTAACGCATGCCCCACTTAGGACTTAGGCGTCCCAGATCGTTGGTACTAGATCGTGGTCGGAAGATTCTGGCTTTCCAGGATTCTAGAAATCAGCCGTTTTGATGTTTCGATCGACGGGATCGTACGAGGGAAGTACGGCGAAGGGCAGCGTCACAGCAGGCGAAGCAGGCAAAGTACGAAAATAATACCCATTAAGCAGGTCGGTTTTTCGCAGATTTGAGGCTACGGTCTGCATTTCTATCACTTCCTGATTGTTAACGCATATTTCAGTGGTTACTTCCGTCCGCTCACATGCTAGATCGTATGGGCCAACAGGTGCTGAACATCTTCTGTGTCGAACATTATCCCCGGCTCGATATCTTCCCAGTAAACATACAGGGCATCGTTATCCAATTCTTCCAACTCCAGTAGCATGAAGACTAGCTTTCGCCAAAGCCAAGTCCAGAAGTTGCGTAAACGCTGTCCAAATTTCGCCATGCATTCTTTGGAAGACTTGTAAGTTACCTCTAGATATTTCAGACAATGATCCTTGGCCCTGTATAGTGGTGCGTCTTCGTCTAACAACTTATGCCATTTACAACCCAGCAGCACATCTCGAACAGTAACACGCAGCTTGAACCTAACACCATGATCATCGCGACACGACTCCAAAGCCGGAGAGCGTGTTGACAGCTTCGTGTATTTCCATTCTCTAGGGCCCGCAGCAAGTGGTCCGCAAGGCTCTTTGTTGCTGAGAAGCAATGGTGGTGGATAACGTCCATGGTTGCTTTTGAGCGATGGCCGGTAAGAAAAAATAGTCCTCTACGGCCACAGGCCGAAGTTGTGCGCGTGTCCCGGTATGTGTGACCACGCGTGTGCTTGTTTGACTATTCATCGCTCTGTCTACGTTCTTAAAACATGTGTGAACGACGTCAGAAAACAGTGAACTGCTGGAGGAGTTGTTGGATATAATAGCAAGCTCACTTTGTGAAGAAAGAAGTTCTGGGCTTTGTTGTTGTTCGCCGAACTAACCTCTTAGTCTCACATGCGTGGTTCACGCACAATGCTCATGCGTCTCGGTGTTCAACAGACTATTGCTAGTGCAGGTCATGTCGTCCATGGTATCGCACCGGTATCAAAGAGACGAATCCCGCTAGATTACAACCTCTGTTTCGCCAACATAGACCCATTCGCCGTCGTCGCGTATGCGCCATGGACTTGCAAAGATCTGGCTCTTCTCGCTAGTATCAAATTCGTCCACCTGCAGATACCACCGTTGCCAAGTAGGATCCCAAACCCAGTCTTCCCAAGCACCAAGCATCTCTGCTGCAACATTCGGCATCAGATTGACACCAGACATGCTCACGTGCTCCCAAACGTTTCTGATTTCGTTTAACTTCCATCGTGAAAGATAGACCCAGACCTGTTGAGCGGGTATGTAGGTGTAGAACTCATGCCATGTGGGATCCCAAGTCCAGGTGTATGATGACAAGGTAGTTTGTGGAGTATTCTGTTGAGTTGATTTTGTAGAGTTGATCAAATGGTCCAATAGCGTAACAGCGTTGGAAAGGTCAGCGAGGTCTAGAATAGCCGATATTGACAGATTGGGTAGCTGTTGTGGTGGCTGCCAGTCACCTCTGGATCGCAGCTGCTGTTCTGAGATCTGTAGCCGTTCTTTCAAAACTTGCAATTGATCCTCGGTCTCCTCGTCAGCAGACGTTACGCTTACGTATGCCATGTTCGCTTGATCGTTGGTAGGAGCTATTGGTCTTAACACAAAGCCCTCGCGTCCTGCTTTTGCGTCTCTTATAAACTTCCGTATCGTTTGCTGAAGCGTGACAACAGTCTCTGTAAGATCTGTCGCTCGATCGCCGTTGACTGCTGCAGACGCCATATCCAATCTCTTCGTGCTCTGGACCAAGTTCTTCTAGACCCCTAGCTTATAGCTTCTTCCGATAGGCTTCAGTAAAAGTATATTAGACAGGTGTTGCGCAGTTTGTTGCAAGTGGTACCGTTGAGTACAGATTGCCGAAGCAGCCGAGTTTTCGCCTTCATCGCCACCACGAGAACTTTGCTTCTTCACCACATCCATCAAGGATCAACATCGAGACAAGCAACGACCATTGTTTCCAACATCAGCCGACAATATCAGTTGCGTTGTGACGATGATACAAAAGGACGTGGAAGATGAAATCCGGCGTTACTTCTGGTCGAAGAGGCTGGGAAGGGATCGTTACGTCATCGTTCCCGTAGGTACGCACGGCAAGCTTCATGTTGCGACATCCACAAGCCATCAAAGCACATATCAGATAGTGTCTCCAGTGTAGCCTAGCAATTTTAGTCTCGGTGACGCGGGTTTTGACTAATGATGGCTGATACGAAGAGCCAACCGACGGGATCGTCGTAGATCTGACCTTGCAGGCCCGGAACCATGCTAGTTATGAAAATAGAGAAGGACAACAGTTTACCATCAGGTAGGGCTACCGTTGAGACTGCTCAGGAGTTTCTAGTAATGAGTTTCGTGTATGAGTGCTTCGATTAGAGGAATGATAATATCGTAAGTTCACGATGTTAGCACTTCTGCCCACTCAGTTACCAGCGTTCACAAACCGTACGGCGCGACTCCAGTAACACTATACACACATAACATCTTCCACCATAGACTCTAGAGACGTTTTCCCTTCAATGCCAAATAATCTCTTTATTCCGCATAGGTTCCAAACAACGACAACAACACCCCAAAAATGCACCAGAACCCTCAATCACACTGGCAATGTCACCAACATCCTCCTACACGTACACACCCACAGAGTGTTACCCCAGATCCTACCACCCAGCCCTCCATTGCCGCCCAACCATCCCCTCAGACCACCTCCCTAACGATGAATATCGTTACTTAGTAAAACTGCAAGACCGCTCACGTTTAGAATCCCATTTCGCTCAACCCTCACTACCCTCTTCTTCATACAACACTCTCCGGAAAACAGCATATCAAGAACAACCTAACTTGAGTCGCGAATGGCGCACAAAGGTTTCCGAGACGGCAAATGCTACTCGCGCGGCATTAGGACCAATTTTCGATTTCACGGAGGAGGGTTATGAGCGTATGCAAACAGCAAATAACAATCGATATACCGGTGGTGGGTATCGTGATGAGAGTGAGTATGAAGATTACGTCCCTTCTCGCCGTGTCCATGAGCTCAACCAGAAATACTGGGATAACGACGAAGGGTACATGAATGAGCAGTATCGCAAGAACGGTTGTAGTCTGCATTCAGGTAGGCATGTTGGTATCAGTCCTTTAGCACACCCGCACCCTGAGCCTACGCCGCCACTAGGCAGAAAGCGGTATGATAGTGGAGTAGGGGAGAGTCCCATGTATGGACCGACGCCAGAACTCGGTAGTAAGTTTGACTGGAGTAGCGATGAAGACGAGTCGCCGAAACGCAAACGTTGGGGACGTCTTTTTCGGAGTAAGGAAGCTGGATGAGCGATAGGCTTCGTGAATAAGATTCTAGTGGTGAGTGCAACAGGAAAGCAAAGTTCAATGACTAGGGGGAGAGAAAGTATATATTTCTGCCATATCTCGGTGATATATGCAGTGATGGAATATGTACATCGAAAGGTCTCTGTGTCGTCGATACTGCCACGGTAAGGACTTGGCTACTGTGCATGGCAGATCTTTGCGCTTTCACAGACCTAGGCAAAGCCGAAGAACTTCATGTCGTCCGCGCCCCGAATAGGCACGGTGTGTCCAACATTCTGTGCATAGATACCCTGGACATTAGGACCATAGATAGTCCTCGTGTAACCGCTTTGGGGGTCATTGGCCTTTGTGCTCTGCGGCTTGTTGTAGTCGTAGCCGAAAACGCCAGCCTGTGTCTCGTTAGCATTTGACTGACTCATGAGACAACCGCGTAACTACTTACCCATTGCTTCATCGTCTCCTGGTAGTTCTGCGGGCGAAGGGTAGTGTCTGCGCTACCGTGGTAGATCTGCATCTTGGGACGAGCACCAGTGTAGCTGGGGTACATGTTCTTGACAACATTGGCCCAGGCTGCAGGGGTGGCGATAGAGTTACCCTGAGCGCAGGTGCTGTTCCAGGCGTCGACACCACCCGATGCAGAGACGAAGCAGCCGGCGCTTACACCTGAGTAGACAATGGCGCCCTTGAAGAGTTCAGGGTAGGTTGCTGCCATGACGTTCTGAAGAGACGTTAGCATGTCAATACAAGTGGAATTCGAACGAACATACGGTCATCATAGCGCCACTGCTGGAACCGGTAACGAAGACCTTGGAAGCATCCGCCTTGTACTGGCTGACAGTCCACTTGACCATGTTGGCAATGGTGTTGCTGTCTCCTCCACCCTCGTGGCTAAGCGTCGCCTTGCTGCTAACATCCCAGCAAGTACCCTCATGAGGGGAAGATGGGTAGATGACAATGAAGCCATACTGCTCAGACAACGTCTTGTAAGGGCTGCCAGTGTAGTATGCTTGCGCTGATCCAGTGCAGTAGTGAATAGCAACGATGACTCCTGGTGAGGCCGCAAGCTTCTTGGGCACATAGATATAGAAGCCCGCTTTGGTAGGCGCAGCACCGAATGAGGTGACTTGGGAGAGGGTGCCAGGCGTCACGGCACGTTTGCCGAGAGTCGCCGCTGCGGCTACAGACAGGAAGCTGGTGACAGCAGTGAGGAAGCGCATGGTGTTGACTAGAGAATGAATGAATGGATGGGTGGTTTCAATTGTCTTGGGATTGGGCCCTCTTATAAAGCTTGTCTTCAGCCGAAGCGTGTGTGCGGTTCAAGGGATGCCGTATGCATTAAGAGGATCTCCCCGAAACTATCCAGCAATCAGCAGCAGCGGAAATGAGGTCACGCAGTTCTGGAATAAAGTGTTTCTCCCCACATCTTCGGCGCCACAGCATAGATGAAGAGCCCACGGTTGTTATTCGCCTTCTAGTCGTGCTTGGAAGGGAACTAAAGGCGTATAGATTAAAAGCTTGTTTCCATTAATCCCAGCTCGGCAAAGGCTCCACGCGCGACGTTTCGAACATCTCCCGACCCTTGACCTTTACCATGTGTTTACCCGGTCCGGGGGAATTTCCTGAAGTAACCCCACAGATTGTGTAAGCATGCGCCATGCATCTGTAGACGCCTCGTAATGCCTGGAAGAATTATATCAATGTCTACCGAGTCGGTGTGGATGGCATGAGCGCGTCTGGAGTAGGGCCGAGGAGTCTGACAGCGTTCCATGGGCCAGATCCAGAACCAAGCCCTGTTCGAGGAACAAGTTCTAGTTCGGCCGTTGCTTGTCGCTTCTTGGTATGATGGAAGCGTAGTGATGTGGGCTGCCGGGTGATGCTGGGGGGTCCAATGGTTTTGACGGTGAAAGTTCTGGCATCGCAAACCTCGTGCAACTTCTTCATCATCTCCCAGCCCACATACCGTCTCCTCTTCCCAGACCGCCGAATGTCAGTCCGCCCATGACACCACCACCGCCTCCTCCTCCACCAATGTTCTTCCCTTCGTTGACGGGCCTCTTGGCTACTCTTCCCTGTGCCTTGACGCCTTGAATGACCTTGTCTAACTGCGTCTCCACCACCACGCCGCCTACTATCATCTCACCCAGTGTCGCATGTAGTGTCTCGAAGTTGAAAATCAGATCTAGCTCGCATACGTTTTCGAAGAGGCCGTCGAGCGCCTGCACAAAGACCTGGATAAGATCGAGGAGCGCGAGAGGCGATTCGGTAGACGTGGAAATTACGATAAAGTAGAGGGTCGCATAGTGGCGGTAGGTGACGAGTGACGGTGTATCGTTGTGAGGAGTCGTGGGCGTGCTAGATTTGGAGCTGCTGGCGAGGAGCGGTGGGAGGCTAGACGTGTGTTAGAGGGGTACGGGGCTGAATTCACGAGGCGACATACGGCAAGAAGTTACATGCTGAGTTTGGACGGTTGGCGACGAGGGTGAAGATCTCGGAAATGAGTCGCTGCTGGACGCTGGTTTCCTGGGTGGTGGTCAGCCAGTCAGTCTCGCAGCACGATGCTAGATGACATGTCGTGTAATACCAGCTGTGTGTAGAACTTGGTCAGGCGCGGCTGGCCGGCGTTGTTGAAGACAAGGACGGCGTTGATCATGGTGGTGATGTTTTGGTGGTGTTGCTATTGGCTTTTGGACAATGTCCCGCCGAAGGATGCGGGGAGATGGGCGAGGGTCCATGCTCCAGCTCCAGTTGCTTCCAGCCCAGGAACAGAAGCCTCTCTCCCGTCCGCTACTCGCCAATCTCCACCACCACCAAGAATAATTCTATCAATTGCTCTCTACCCATTCCACATCCATCACAATGAAGCCAGTCACTCGATTTGCCGGCACAGCCATCCGTCGCGCCGCCCGCACTTCTCTTCGCGTCCAGTCGCCCGTCAATTGCATCATCGCTAGCAGGGTCCCAGCTATCAGCCATGCCGCCCCGGTACGCAGCTTCCACGCATCAATGGGCATGAGAGTGGGCATGATGCCCGACTCAGAAGACCCCAAGCCAAAGGAGAGCGAGGCCCACGACGAGCCTGGCAAGCCGACCGAGCTCTCAATAGAGGAGTTCCACGAGCGCGCAGACCACTACCTGGGCGAGCTGCTGCAGAGGTTAGAGGAGGCTCAGGAGAACGACCCCGCGATTGAAGTAGATTACTCGGTAAACCTACACTACACAGCATACTCCAGCACTTGACACTAATCCCACCACAGGCCGGCGTCCTCGAAGTCACCTCGCAACAGAATACCTTCGTTTTGAACAAGCAACCTCCAAACAAGCAGATCTGGCTCAGCTCCCCGATATCCGGTCCCAAGCGTTTCGACTGGGTCGTGGCACAAGAGGGCATGGACTTCAAGGAGGGTGGAGGCATCGGCGACTGGGTGTACATGAGGGACGGCAGCTCGCTGACTGAGATTCTCAGGAAAGAGCTGGGCGTTGACGTCAGTGTTGACGATGAGGTCCCGCGTTAGGACAAGCGGGCTATGCCTGGTAGCACATGCTCCATCTAACACAGTGTGGCCCTGAGCACACATGATTCAACGGTAGCCAATAGCGAATAGCGAATAGCGACAATGAAGTTTGATTGCGCACGCTCAACTCTGCTTCCCAGGCTGCGGTCACATAGTATAACCAACATGCTTCAAACGCCCAATATATGCATTACAACGCCGTAGATGCTGAGAGGCTAGGATGAGGTCCTCCTGCGACAGTATGAAAATAGGAACTGGGGAATCTAGGCGGCAATCGCAACGCTCTTGGGCGCATCGTCGTTCTCGGGCGGGAGATCGGACTGTCGCGTATTAGTCTTCGCTTCTGACATGTGAGGACGGGCACAGCATACCGGGTCGAAGATGATGCGTATCATCAGACTACAGCTGGGGCAGCGCGCAATGTCTTCTCCGTCGCGCATGTCATAGATGGAGATCTCGAAGCGGTCGCCACATGGACATGGGTGGTGGTAGATCTGCAGAGTCTCATCGTAGAAACAGTCTTCGATCTCGACTTCGTCGTAGAGGTTGACTTCTTCGTCGGCCATGGTCTTGTGGGCGTGCGCGTGCGTGCAAAGAGCGGATGAGTTTGTCGGCGACTGCGAGGAAGTGGCGGGGTGGGAACTTTTGCCCGCAGCGCACCTCCGGCACGCTAGCCCTCGACCTGCATCAGCCCCAGACTACTACTACCCGCCGTCCATTCACATCACCAAAAGCTCCGAACACGTATAGCAACACGCCGCCCGCCCGCCTTCCTATAGCACCACCCCGTCTGCCACCTTCCCCCTACCATGGGCGCGTGCCTGCCAAATTGATCCACGTCTAGCACCATGGACGATGTCGAGTCGGCGACGGTCAAGCTCGCGGAGCTGCTGCGACACCCGGAGGACCTCGACAAGATACCTGGACTCAAGGCCGAATTCACGCGCAAGAAGGCGGCCGTCGACGGCCAGCTCCGCCATGGTCTCAAGGAGCAGCTCGAGTTGACCCAGTCGGGCATGAGCAGCATCACCGAGGGCCAGCGCACCGTCAACCTGATCAAGGAGGAGATGATGAAGATAGACAAGCTATGCGCCGAGGCCCAGAATATGATTCAGGACTTCCCGCACATCAACCTGGTAGCCCAAACACACAAGAACTTTGAATCCGTCGAGAAGATGCGCAACGACATCGAGGCTTTCGAAGACCGCCTGGAGAACCTCGAGATCCTGCTGGCACAGGACGACGAAGACCCCGCCAACCAGCCCAATTTGTTGCAAGTCCACTACGGCCTGACGCAGCTACGAGACATCCGCGACGAGGCCATGGGCCAGATCAAGAACAGCGATACCTCCACCGAGCTCATCGACAATCTCACACTAGAGAGCGGCGTCACCGTCCAAGACCTCTTCGCGCGCTTGGACGACGTCGTAGAGTGGTTTGACAGACATGTCGGGGAGGCATGCATAAACTTGATACAGCTGGTACAGACCGACAATGTAGGCATGGTGGTTCGTTTGGCCGTCGTAGTCGAGGAAGAAGAAAAGACGGACAAGAAGATCAAGGCCCTGCAGGATGCGCAGAGGGAGTTTGGTGATCTTGCGTCTCGCTTCAAGTCCATTACCCAAGGACCCAAGGAGCTTCGCGGCTACAAGGAAAAGTTCATTACTTCCATCGAATACGTTTGCAAGGCGGAAATGGACGCGGCGAGAGAAGAATTCATGCAAGACCCGGACAAGATCGAAAAGTCCTTCAAATGGTACTTTAACAACCTCAACACAGTCAAGTTGGGCATGGTCGATCTCATGCCCAAAAAGTGGAAGATCTTCGACACATATACCAACATCTACCACAAGCAGATGCATGACTTTCTTATGGAGTTTGCCGACGATGAAGCTCTTGGACCGCAATATCTGCTAGCTGTCATCAACTGGGTGGACAAGTACTACGTGAAGATGCAGAAGCTTGGGTACTCGGAAGAGCAACTGCAGCCGCATGTCATCGACAACCGCAGTCCCGAGCTGATACGTACCTACCGCTCCGTCATCATTCAAGCCGTCGACCAATATATGGAACGCATTAACAATCAGGATAGACAAAGGTTCCTGGAGCAAGACAAAACAGCATACGAGACCAACTTTGACGGCATCACCCAGACCAGATCACTGGGAGATATGTGGACACTCTTCAGCCAGAACATTGGTGTCGCCGCCAGTAGTCAGCGTCCTGACGTTGCTGACGGTGTCGTTGACGCCATGTTCCGTGCCTTGTTGTCTCGCCAGCGTATATGGACTCAGCTCATTGATGATGAAAAGACTAAATATCTCGGACCAAATTTCGTGCAAGACGAGGATGAGACCTATGTCTTGCAAGAATGGCTTATCGCGCTCGCAAATGACCAAATCATTTGCATTGACGACGATATTGATGGTAGTGGTGGAGCCTCGTTCTTGACTGTCTTTGAACGCGAAGTCACGCCCATTGTCTCGCAAGACTACATGATCGACAAGCTGGCCAGGAACGTGGATGAAGCGAAGAACGGTTATATCGACATTTCATCTCACTGCATACAAGTTTTTAGCGAGCTCATCTTTATTGTCGATCTCAAGCCTGTGCTTGGCAAGTTCTTTACACCGGAATGGTACTCGAGGACTGATATGGCTTCTATCATCACAACTTTCAAAGACTATGTGGAGGAGTTTATCCCCCGCATTCACCGCTCCCTGCGGGATCTTATCATCGACTCTCTCGCCGATGAGTTGCTTGTTCAGTATCTTGGGGCCGTGCGCAACAAGGGTGCCAAGTTCAAGAGAACGGACCAGTTTGCAGCAAAGATGAAGGATGATCTTCTCACAGCGTTCGAATGGTTCAGGACATTCGGCGAGCAAGGTGCCGACATCATGCAGCGATGGCGCGCTGTGCAGGAGTTCCTCAAGCTGCTTGAATGCGACAAGTCGCAAGTGCAGTTTGCGTACGTTGAGTTCAAGACTGCTTATCGCGATGTTACTATTACATGGGTGGAAGCTGTATTGAAGACGAGGGACGACTTTGACCGGAGCATGTTGAATGCGGTTAAAGCAAAGGCTGCAGAACCTATTGGGGAAGAGTCGCCTCCTGATCCGATTATGGGCAGGGTGAAGTAGAGCTGATTTTGGCATTTTTCGGCTGCTGAGGCGTAAGCATGTCTGGCGTTGGAGGTGTATTCATACTGGGTCAGTGTTGCAGCCACCGGAACGCGGCATCACTAACGACTCTAGAGCAATACGGTATACCCCGGATTTCTGTTCGTTGCTAGATTAGCGAATACGAAGTTCCTCACATCACCTTCTGTCTACTTGACGATCAGCTTACTATGGTTTTCTCGTCGCAATACCTTTGCTCTTCCAGTATGACGTCTGCGACTCCCCGCCCACAGCTCGCGGTCTCCTTTAATGCATAAAAGCGGATTTGAGCGAGAATAAGAGGCAAGATCGACAGGTACATTTCCTTACCCGCGGAACATTCATGTTCACGCAAGTAGCCTAAACGGAAAGGGGCTAGCGTCAGGGGTCCACCAACGTCTCAGAATGGTGGAAGGCGCCGCGTGCTAATATCGTGCCGCTCCTATCAAAATGACCTTCATATGTCGGCCGCTTTGTTAGTTGGTGGTTTGATTGGGGATGTTTCGAAACAACATGTTCTCCAAAGACACGTCGAATGCCTTCATGCCAAAGTATTCAACGACTGTGAAACGAAAAAAAGTACAACGCAAAGTTATGCGCGCAAACGGAAACCACAAAAAGCCCAGAAGACGCGCAACACTCCCCCACTACCATTGACGCAACTTTACGGCTTTCAAAACTTCAAGCATCGCGCTCCTACCACCCGTCGATCAACCAACACAATCTCCGCTATCGCTCATCCCAACCTGTGAACCTTTCACGTAGCTCGCCACACTTGTCGTGCAAGGATCTCCCATCCAATCTAGACCAGCAGCCGCGAGGAAATGAATCACTGCAGTCGATCGTTGAGCGAGGCTGGCGCGTCCTAACCCACATGCGATACCACCCTTCCATCTCTCCGTTATATGACTGCTAATATGAGCCCTGTATAAGACCCTGTGTACCGCCTCGTGTCCTACCTCTCATTCTTCTTCATCCTACAATCTCCAATAATCAATAGTACTTAGTATACTATTAGCCACTCTTTTTTACCTTGCAAGCCAAGTCCAACCACAGTCTTTACTACCAACAACTCGACGTTTGTCTCTTTTGATACCCATCTTCTTACATTCACCAACACCTTTCAACAAACCATCAACCATCAAAATGCGTTTCTCCATCGTCGCCGCTTCTCTCATCGCAGCTGTCGCTGCTCAGTACCCCTCTGCTTCTGAGGAGGTCTGCTCTGCTGCCGTCACTGTCACCGTCACCGAGTAGGTCTGCCCTTACATATCCCTGCCATCCTGTCACATTCAATCCCTTCTCGTGTATATTCGGATCATTAACAACTCCCTCCAGGACTCTGGCACACACCCCCGTCGCCCCCTCCATGTCCAGCGCCTACTACCCCACCACCACCCCCATGGCCGCTACCCCCTCATCCCCCGCCCCCGTCATGGGCGGCACCGGCGTTCCCATGGTTCCCGATGCGTCTTCCGTCGGCACCATGCCCGTCGCTTCCGGCACTGCTGCCCCCAGCGGTAGCGGAACCGGTGCTCCTTACCCCGAGTTCACTGGCGCTGCTTCCGGCCTCAAGGTCGGCGGTGCGCTTGCCGGTGTGGGTGCCGTTGCTGCTCTCTTCTTGTAGAGAGTGAAATCTTGCTAGTGGGAGAAGAGGGGGAGGGAGATTGTTGATACGATACCCTAGGGGATTAAGATACTGTTTCTTATGTAGTCTTTGAATTGATGTGGTTTGAGCCGGATGTGGCTTAGCTTTGTATGAGATCTCTCCATCTGATGTTGAGGCCGTGATCGATAGTGATGTGTAGATGCAGTGAAGAACCGATGAAAGTTAGTGCAAGAGACATCGAGATTGATATTTATTCAGTCGCCAGCGATCCATCGATCACGAGACTGTGTCTATGAGATACTAATAGCAAGCACAGCATGTATAACTATGACTTCTTCATCTTCTCAATTTTTCGTTGTATTCTCTTCCATAGAATCCTCAAACCATTACCACTACCGTCACCCCTATTCTTCTTCACTAGTTTACGACTCGGCCTTTGAATCATTTTATGGTACCCACTCTCCCTCGCCGCTGGGTGCGACGGCGGCTGCAGGTAATGCGACGGCGGCGGGTAGTAGTTAAAGTCCGGTCCCTTGATAATCGGTAATGCGCCCTGAATCTCTGGGCCCAATACCACACCATCCACGTTTTCTTCTCGGACAGGTATTGCTTCAACTTGTATCGACTCCTCGAATTGTTCGATAGCGACATCCGGTTCTATAGCAACATTTAGCAGTTCTTCAGTAAGGTCTGTACTCCACCGTATCGCATCTCCGCCATTTTCATGTTCTTCAGCATAGAGGTCTATATCGCTGGGAAGAATGTCACTTAAATGTGTCGTTTGGGGTGCCAAATTGCTTTCCACGGCTGTTTCGGCAGTAGACAAGTCTGTTCTAGTAGACGAGTGAACGGATAGTGGAGGGTTGGAGTTTATACCGTCATCGTGGAAGCTACGAGGTGTCGGATAGGCTGGTAGTGTGGATATGGGTGTGGAGAGATGACGATTGCGGAAGAGAGCGAGGTGTGGTGATGGAGGTAATACGGGAGATGGAGGCAGAACAGGAGAATCGCCACGAATACTTGTTGAGCTCGAAGACGGAGTGGCGCTGAGGAGGAAAGTTTGGCACCCAGCAGATGGGGGGAGGGTAGGTGAATTGACATGGAAGGTTGTGGTCGTGGGAGTTGGACTGAGGAGGAAGGTCTGTTGAACTGGAGCATTAGTGGTAATGGTTATGTCCTGACGACGTCGAGGCATCGTGGACACTTTTTGTGTGGACTTCATCATAGGACGTGGACGGACAATGGGCCAACGGATGATGCGCCGACGAATGACAGATCGGTGGATGATAGGCCGAGGGGCGGTGGGTCGAAGGCTGGTTGGTGTGAGTGGTGTTGACTGGGAAGGTGCCTTCCAAGGAAGACATGTCAGTCGATAGAGAATAAGTGCTGCGTAGATGTACATTGGAGCTGAGTTATATGGTAGAAAATGGTCAGGTACGTATGTTGTTCTTATCACATAAGTAGTATATTAAGGTCTAGTTTGACAAGGGCATTGTTTTTCGGAATATGCGTAGAACAAAGACGTGATATGAGTAGTAAAATCGAGGAAGAAGACAAAGACTCGATCATGTTGGATTTTACAAGCATCAATGAGACTGAGGTACTGTAACCATCTAGCTCAATGTAGATATGTGATTCGACTCACTATGCATTTCACCTGGCTGGGACTCACATATGTAGCTGACCCGATTCTCGATCCGGAAGATTACTTGCTCTCCAAAGCAATGTCTCGGATTGGTTTGCGCACCTCGTCATCACCCAGCTGTTCGACGCCTAACAGCTTGTTGTCGTCCAACTGCTTCCAGCGCAGGGCGGAGATCAGCTATTTGTAGTCAGTGGCTCTGCTACTTCTCGCAGCTGAGTTCACATCATATTTCATCATCTTCAACTATTTCCGGTCGCGAGCAATTTGCGACCAAAGATCGTCACTATCAGTCTCAGAACTCTCCTTCTCCTCCTCAGTACGAAGAACAGGACGCATGTGATGATCCAAACGCACTACCTTCTTCTCGCCCGTTTTTGAATTCGTGACCGTCATGGTTCTTGGTCTCAGTAAGTTATCAACCCGGCCGTAAAAGCCATCACGATCAAACCCGTGGCCGAAATTGTGGGAAGAGGGCTCGCATGTTCTATCCCTCACTTTGTTAACAGCGAGTTCCCCATCAAGTTTGAAACGAGCCCGGAGATCGGAACAACTACTTACGAGGCGAAGTTCCACCGTACGCCAGTCATCGATAGCTTCTTTAGCGGGGTCCTTGTTACTCGCCATCCACCTCTTCCACTCACGCAATGTCTTATCCTCTTCACTCAATTCAGCCAAGTCGGCCGTGCATTGGGTAACGATCGTCGGCGCACGCCGTCTATTCGACCTAGGCCTAGGGTCAGCATCGTACGTGTTTGTATGCGGAGCAAATTGAGCCCGTGAGTCACTTCTATGACCTACTTGGATCAGTGTATACGGAGACGCCGTTCCAGTCAGATGTTGAGGCTGTGTCAGTGATGAATCTGTAGGTACGATGCGTTGGGTGTGTAGTGTAGGAGCCATAGGTATGTTAGCCCGATTTCTGGTATCACGTCTGGTAGTCCAATCTCTCGACTCTGATAATTCCTCGTTGGTGAGGCGCCGAGTGTGATGCGTAGGAATTTTGTGTCCGATAGCCAAGTTTCTTTGCTCTAGTTGTTCTTTGGTGAAGCGCTCACTTCGAAAGGCAGGACGAATATTGCGTCTATTAACCATGGTTTTCCGCTCTAGTGTCGTTGGTGAGGTTTAGTGGGGTTGCTGGTCCTTGTTTCGTCGCAATCGTTGTGCCAAGAGACTGGCGAGTGTAGTATCTAAACGGCTAGAGTTACGCTTTAGGTATGTTTGTCCTATTATGGTCAATGGAACCAGTTGTGGAGAATCGAAGGTACGCGACTCACGTTCCTGACAGCTGGTATCTTGTATTGGAAAAGATGGCCTGAAGCTGTGCGACGCAGCTCTGGGTACGGTTTGTTGCGGTCGATGAGATCGCCGTTGAAATCTAAGACTATAGCGTAAACCTTTCCCGCCTAGCCAGGGTAGATATGGCTGAAAAGCTGTCCGTTTTCTCTGCGTCGAAGTTGTGGATGAAGTCCAGATTGGGATGGTTCGCTGTTAAGTTTTAGGAGTACAGCGTCGAGGTGATGAGTGCTAGATTTCATGTTGACAGAGTTATGAGAATGTTGTTATATCAGCGTCAGAAGAACATTGTGCCATGAGACGACAGCTCGCTGTGCACAGTTAACGCGACAAGGCTTCACAGCAGGGACTGTCTCTGAGTGACGAGAAGGCAAAGACGTGTCTCAGAACAGCAAACTGACTGATTGTATGAAGTACCTTTAATTCCATGACATGCAAACCAACGGTGTCTGCAAAAGCGATGCGTTGAAGAGATCTAAACTTCGTGTAGATTGCCGTAAGTAAGGTATCAACGCCACCTAGATGAACGCCTATGCGTGAATCCCATTTTGGATGATCGGACGCGCCAAGCAGTTTGGTTCGCGGGCCGTCGTAGACTGTACAAATATTACGAACCTCCTCTTCCATACTCAGCGCCGGCTCTTAAGTCCTGCCCGTGCGGCAGTTGACCGTCGCTCCGGTTTCGATTCGTCTCCGCTCTCGGAGTCGCCATCTTCCAGGTCGTCGCTCATGGGTTCCGACATATCCTCGCCCTCGTCATCGTCCGTCTCTTCCGCCTCGTCGTCGATAAGGTCCTCGTCAGAACCTTCGCTGCCTTCATCAGAAACGTCTTCCATCTCCATGTTCAGGCCCATGTCGTCTGAAGAGCTTTCATCTTCATCGTCCATCTCCGCGCGCGATCGTTTCGGGGTCGCAGTGGCACCATCGACAGACTCATCATCGGAGACGTAGTCGTCCTGACCCTCGACGTAGACTAGCGCTTCGTCGGCATCGTCGTTGGCGGCTTGGTTCCGTTTCCTCAGATCAAGTTGAGCTTGGAGCATATCCAGGCGACCTTTCAACGACATGAGCGGCATGAGACCGCTCGAGCGCTCTTTCAAAACTTTGTTAAGTGCGGTGAGCTGCTTGACGATTTGTGGTTGGGAAGCGAGGTATCCACCGTGGGCCTGTTGATGTGTCAGTTGTTGCCTCCTTCAAGTCGGATGCGGATTGCTTACAGCAAGACTCCATTGTACCCAAGCCATCAACATGCCTGCCCGGCCAGGGCTTCGGTGAAGTCGCTCAGCCAACCTCTGCAACAATGTGCCAACCAATGGCGATGGCAACCGCTCTACAGTAGCGTATACTGACTCTACATCCACAACCTGGAGACATGAATCGAGAAGCTCCTTGTCGTTGGTGCGCAGGGCTTGGGTAAGGACAGTGCCGAGAGAGTTTGCGTTCGGCGGTGCAAGAGGGCGATTCTTGGTCGTCGTTACTGTGCGCTCGGGGTTGGGGTCAAATGCATCTTCTACGCTGATGATTCGTGATTCTTGAACAGGCTCAGGGCCCTCTGCGCGCAGCCGGTCTCCGAATGTAAGCTCTTCCGGCTCCGCGGCATTGTCGTCATCGGCGGCGGCGCCGTTTGGTGTGGGATCCTCCTGCTCACTCTCTGAATCGTCTTCATTCTCTTCCTCGGCGCTGCTGATCTCAATGACGTCTGCATCCAGCATGTGCGCATCGGCCGGGCCTTCGACAACAGCAGTGGCGTCGTCGACTCTGTCTGCTCGCGCGTTCTTTGAGCCACTTGTCTTTGCCGTGGGCTTTGCCGCATTTCCATTCACTAATGCTTTGAGGCCATTCTGACGGACTGTCGCAGATGATTGCGCCAACTTGGGCTTCTTCGCCGGCCGGCGGTCGTGATTCTTCGGGGTTGCTACTGCGGCGGGCATTGTGGTAGGCACAGTGGATGTCGAGGGGTCGCTGACTGGGCGCGTGGATGCCTTGACCGGAAGTTTGTTCAAGGCTGTGGTGCTGCAGCCTGAAGCAATGCGCAAGATGCAAGTGGTCGCAAAAAATTTGGAAAGAGCGAATTACCCACCCCTGCACGCACGGGCCTTGTTGACAGGGATCATAGTGTAGAGCTGTCGAGCTCGCTGCGACGCGTCGACGGCATCTGTTCCAGCAACAAAGTCATCGGGAGGGTAGCAGAGCCGTCCAAGTTGAACGCGCAGGTGTCGGAAGAGAGCAGATAATCCCAAAACGCGGCGTTGCGGGTGCGGATGCTCAAGTGGTCGGCAAGGACACGTACCCGTCCAGGTTAGTGGCAGGTCAGGGGCTGCTGCGAGGCTTGGCTCGGAGATGGAAGGGCCGGGCTACTTAACCCCAATGCCTCTCCTCTCGCGTCTGTCTTCGACGTTCTTGAGTCCATTTTCTTGATCTGCCTCCAATCAATACGCGCCTGCTCCCGATCACCCAACCTTACTCGCACTCCCCCGCCACACCTTCGTCACCTGTCCGAGATCCGTCACATCTCGACAAAAGTCTAGGCTGCTGCACCAAGTAAATCCGACATAATTAATATTGCGCATCCATCCCCCGTCTGTCTGCACCCGCTTGACACTAGCGCTCACCGCCCGCCCGTCTGAGCATCCAGCCCGCCGTCACCATCCGTGCACTACATCACCAACGTTTGTGTTGTCGCACATCTTGAGAGAGGGCGCACAGCTGCACCACTCCGTTATTGCCTCTGCCTTCCACGCGCTTGGCCCACCATAACAAACGCGTCGGCGCTATAAAGTCTGACTCATCACCGACCGCCGTCCACTCTTTGATACCTCGCCGCCGCCACCATCTGGTACGTAGTCACGTGCGTTTCAGCCTCTGCAACATATATTCCTCACTGCCCCTCCTGATCCCTCGCGTCACTTTACCGACGCTAGCCTCACCCTCCGACCCCACCTTCACCGCAAACGCGCCCACTCACCCCTCTCATTGCCGTGTCCGTCGTCAACACGCGTATTCTTGCGCAGTCGCGTGCGCCCGAAATGGCAATCGCTAACAACCCCAGATTAGCAACAACATCAAACACAACACATCCTCTGTCAGCCGCGCGCAAACCCGCCTTTCACTTTCATGGCCCTATGGCAGTAATGACATCTCCCACTGTCGACAAAACCTCCCTGGACCTTAAGGCGAGCGCTTTTGCGCCGGCAGACGCAATGGCGGTAGACACTGAGGCAAACGGGTAAGTCGCTCTTCCCTTTACTCTTCATCAT